AACAAGGCCGTTAGTGCGTGTTTACATACAGTGTCGGAGAGAAGGCCATTAGAGCATGGATAAAAGAAGGCCCTGAGTGCACGTTTATTCACAACCCTAGTATAGACAAAAATCCGATCAGTCATCACCCTCCAGCCCGCGCACGGCCCAACCTTTGGTCAGCCACAGGAGCCCGCAAACCCGGTCCAAGCCCAGCGTTTGGCCTGTGGATTGAAGCCTGGTAGCAGGCCTTGTTTTCCAGCCCAAATTGGCTTATATAATCGGCCTATCATGCACATAAGGCCCAACTGTTTGGAAATTTTTGGGTCAGCATGTTAGCAGTTCGGCCTAATTGTCTTTGTAAGCCTATTTTGAGTTCCGGAAGCCTGTTTTTAATACCGATTTCAATTCAAAAAATTATTTTCAATTGAGAAAAAATTGAGAAAAATATTTTTAAGTCCCGAGACTCCAAATTAATTTTCCGAGTCCCTTTTTGCAAAAATGAGAGAGTTTCAAGTCCACGAAAAATCCGATTAAAACCCTTAAGTCTTAATTTTTATTAAGTATGGGTTTTAGAATAAATTCGAGTAGTGAGATAGTTTATTGATAAATGATCTCACTTAAATGTAGGTGTTTGAGGAGTCGAGCCTCATCCTACGTACTTGCGTTTGTGTGCCATTTTCTACCGAGATTTCCAGGTGGGTTGTAATTGTAAAAACTTTTATGCCTTAAATGTTATTACTGTTTTAATTGTGGTATGATCAAAGTATGCATGTGAATCATGTAGCCTTCGGTGTGAGCTGTATCGGCCACCAGATGGTTGTCCCCGTAGCTATAGAACGTACCTTCGGATAGTCTCCCTTGAGAAGCCGTAAGACCAGGGCTTAGGTCCCTCGGCCGGTGATCCTCATTGGTAAGTCCAAGGCAAGGCCTTGGCCGGTGGGGTGGTTTACTCCTACTGGCTGGCACTCGATGTAGGACCGGAGGGCATTCGATATATAGTCAGCAGTAGTCTATGCGTAGGTGTGCACATGAGTCTGGTTATTGTATTATTGATGGGAGAATGGGATAGATTACTGCTTCGTATACATGCTGAGGCCATACCTTTTGATTATTGATTACTGTTGATTATTGACATTAACATTTATGGCATAGCGGTGAGCACTACTGTTTTCTTTGTGCTCATCACCACCTGCTCTTCATGGATGCAGGTTAGATAGAGCGGCACGGGAGAAAGGTACGTATTATTTCACGTAAGAGTAAAGGGATGCGAGTGGTGGTTTTTAATTTAAATAAATGCTTCCTCTTTGAACTGAACTTGGATATTATTGCGTTATTATTGATTATTGCTTTTCGTTAGTACTGGATTATTGAATTATTGATAGGGATTATTTCCATGGGATTATTATTGGATAATTGATTAATTATGGGGATTTTCATATTGATTATATGGATTGATAATTGCCGAGTATTGAGAAAATGTTGAGCATTGATTATTGTTTTTTAAATAAATTCGAAAAATTTATTCTGATTTTCGGTAAATAAAAGTGGGGCGTTATAGTAGTGATATCATATTGGGAGGAGACTGGCTCAGAATATGCACACCCATTGAGCTGGATTACAACACAATGACTGTTACTATCAGCTTGAAGGGGAAGAGGGTTACACTACAAGCATTGAACCCAAAGGCAAAGTGCCACCAGATCTCTGAACACTCATTACTCTGCATGGTTCAAGATGAAGAGGAAGACCAAATTGAGGAGATGTACCTGTTAACTATGGAGGCAAGCAGAACATGTGGTAAAAAGGTCCTACAGCCCATCTTGGAAGAGTACCAAGACATTTTTCAAGAACCACAGGGACTTCCTCCTAAAAGAGGGATAGAACATCACATTATACTAAAAGCAGACAGTGTACCCAAACAACAATACCCCTACAGAGTGTCACATAACCAGAAAAACAGCATAGAAGAAATTGTGCAGCAGACTCAAGTTT